TGGATAAAGCTTGCTAAGTAACCCGGCTTGTCATCTTGAACATATAAAGTCCACTTTATTTCCTGACTTTTCAACAGCTACTTTTGTTTAAATAAGATTTTTTTTTCCCCATCTCAAATAATGAAAGTCTATTTACTAGCTTAACTCAAGCTAAAAGGTTGAGTGCTGGAAATTTAATATTTTAAGAAACTCAGAAATTCTAATTCTTTGGAAGAGATAAATTACTTCCACATAAAAACGCCTTTCCAGACTTCTTTATATTACCTCTTCAGAAAACACGCTGTTCCACTACCAAGTAAAATTATATTTATCTGTCAAATAAATGAAAGTGAAAGCAAATATTCTAGCTGCTTTCATCAACTTGCCCATACCTGTCAACCCCAGATAATAAAAGCAACTTCACATTTTACAAGGCACATGCATCATTATGTGGTCTATTCTTTTAAGAATCTTTCTTCCATGTCCTGCTCACAGATATAGAGGTGCATACAAATGATCACAAAACAAAATTGGTTACTGTATTCTAATTTTCAGATGTAGCTCCTAAAAACAAGAGGCACTACATATGCAAAGCATCTAGTTACCTATAGACAAGCTCTACAGAATCACAGAAATTCAGAACAGGTAACTTACCCCAAACACAAACTCACAAATCTCTGCCTCACTACAGTGACTCTAAATTTTTTCTTTCAGGTATTACTAACCAAATTCTAATGTGGCTCGAGGGGAAAATATCCTTCATTCAAACATTGCATTTGCTGATAAACTGGTGCCTAAAATACTAGGAGTCCCCAGTAGAACAGAGATGGAAGAAATATCCCACAACATATCCCCTAAACTCTGAGGCTGGCTTCCTGTCACAGCTGTGCCTACTGATAAATTCCACATGAAATCAACATTTTTTTTCCATATGGATACCACCAGACTTAATCTCTCAGTGGACAGTCAAAAGCACAAATAACCAAAATTAGAGACATCATGAAACACTGATTTGAAGAAAAGAGGTATTTGAGCAAGTTCGCATTCTATTTCATTTTAAAAGAAAAAGTCAGGCTACCTTTTAGCATTCACAGGCTTATCAGATATAACTTGAAGACTGTATACAAACAATATCAAGAACTAAGTACAGAGTAGTGAACTTTAGAAATGTTCAGAAGAATAAAACCTATCTCCAATTTTAAGGCTTCGTGCTTTCCTATGGCAAAACATAGGTTCATAACTCGGTAGCAATCAAAACAGAAGCCCCTTTCTTAAGACTATATCCAAACTCAATGTAAGTGTACATATAATACTCTGTCTATGTGTTTTAACTCAACCCATACTGGCATTTCAGATGTTTGTGGTAGAAATATCCTAAAGGCTGGCAACACAAGCTATTTTGCTTCAGACTGAATGCACCTTAACATCATGTTCTAGTTTCAGGCCAACCAGGACAGAGTAACTAATATTCAGTGCAATCAATCAGCCATTACAAGATGTACTCTTAGAAACAGCTCTGCCAACTGTCAAATAAATAGAAAAGTAGTTGTCTAGGTATTATAAACCACTCCAAGGACCTTTAATGGTCAAGCACATGGAGGCAGAATAATTCAGATACAGAAAGCAAACATGACTTGTGATGGGCTCATAAAAAGTGAGAAGAGAACAAAAGAGACAGAGAAATCTTAACACATCTCAAGAAGCAGCAATCAGTGAAAAATTCATGGTATTTATAATCCATAAATGTAAGAGATATTGCTCATGAGACTTCCTTTGCAAAGGAAATGTGGAGGTAAAAGAAGGTCTTAGGAAAGAGGCCTCTCATGAAACAAAAAAATGGAAACTCAAGGGCAGGAAAAAAGAAAATGGACTTTAAAGTCAATTCTATGAAGATACTTACATAATTATGATGGATACCAAGCAAATACTGCTCCTTACAACTACTATTTCAACACTGAAATTTTGAACAGAGTAGGAATTCTTGTCATTCCTTTGTGTAACTTTCCTATATTTCAGCTGTTTCAACTGCAGCATATGGATAGTTTCTCTTCAAACCACTTTAAAAAGGTTTGGAAAGTGCGGTTTGTAGATTGAGTGGGGGGATGTTTGGGGGTTTTTAATCAACTCACACAGAACACCTCAACCATTTTCTTCAAGAGCTTCAGCTTCAGTGAGAGTGTGTTTGCACAGCCATAACTTGAATGGTAACAACCCTGGGCAAGCAAAAATATAACTGTTCAAGCAGGCTTATCCATGGGAAGACAAATTTGTGCTGAGACAGAGACCTAAGCAGTTCAAATTAATTTAAATTGTCAGCGTAAGTGGTTACACTTCTGAAGCAATCCAGGCAGTGTGAAGTATGTAGGAGTCCCCTTGACATTACAAATATGTCAGAAAGAGTAACTAATATACATCAACAGAACCAGAATATAAACTTCCAACAAAATAAGGGACAAACTTCTATAACAATTACTAGAAATGAACTTCCAGTTCAGTGACTAGAGATACTCAGGGAAAACCCAGAATGAGATAAACACACAAAGTTTTGCCTGTGGTTCAAGTTTCTGGTCACAAGCTTTTATAGCAAATTTTTGACATCCTGACAGAGAGCATTCAGTTTTTAACAGAAGGCAAAAAGTTTAAAAGCTTAAAAATACATAACTTTTCAAGTGCAGAAATACCTAAAAATGTTCCAAGTAACTGCTTCTCCTTGATTCTATTTTTTCTTCCATGTTTCTGAAAATGTGATGGAAATCAAGCAGCTTGTACTGGAATTTGATCTTGAATGTTGTAGTATATTACTATCTACATACAGGTATTGCAATAGATAAATACTGTATTACATGTTATTATAAGAGGAAAAATCAATTCATAAATAATAAGGGGGGAATCACAAGTTGCTTTTGTGAGGCAATCACTACTCCTACCCTAAGGGATTTACATAAAATAGCTTCTAATAGCATTTTTCTTATCCAGCAAGCCAGAGTCACACATTAGAAGTAACAGACATTATGCCTTAAGGAGAAAATACAAATGACCATGTAAATGAACATACAAATGAGCTGTAGAGACAACTGTTTCAGAATGCTCCATTTACTTTGTAAGTATTATTGCAATAAAAGTGAAGAAAGTAATTAATTGGCATGCATCATATCTAAGGCACTTCAATCTTTCAGCAGTGTAGGATTAACAACTTTATGCTTATTAAAGTCCTTAATATTATTTATGTTACAGTACTACTGTGCTCAGAGGCCCAAACTAAGACAGGTCTCTCCTGAGTACTAGAAAATCATTATCACATTGACACACAAGGAATTCTCTTTCAAAATATTTTAAAAAACCAGAAAAACCACATATGCTCTGTTTAAGCCAAATTACTATATCTACAGGCTTTACTACAGTTTTTCTGTTTAGCTCATTTATTCTTTTTAATGCCAGAAGTACAAGCATACTGCATATTTTCCAACAGATGGGTAAAAGTACAGCTCAGAAACATACAGCCCTGGACCTCTCCCTGCCTCTCAGGCCGTTGGGTGTAAGCACACAGATGCTCCTTTGTTTATCAGTACCTGAATAAAGAGGTTTGCATAACTAGATTGCTGTCTCTCCACCTGCTAAAGAACACAACCCCAAGTCAAAACCTGACATTTGTAGATCTGTGGGAATTCCGAATCTAACTGGCAAATTGAGCTGGGACAGATTTTAGGCTCTCAGATTTCTCCCTAATATCAAACTGCTCAGTGTTGAAGTTCACAGGGAACAGGCAGAATCTGCATAAACATTTTAGACACATTATTGGAACAGATGATTCAATATAATGGGTTTCCAAACAAGTAATTGTATATACAAATATTAGTACAATCTGCTATTATAAACATCAATGTTTTTTTTCAAATTTTTGCAATACAAGTGTTTTTTCCATACTTCAAAAGCTGTACTGTCATATCCTGCATAATTGACTTCTGGGTTATACTAAGTGGCCCACTGAGACTCTTCATTATATTTCACTTGTTAAGACCAGCTGGATGAAAGCCAGCCCAACCCTCTCCAGAGTCTAAAAAAACATAAATTATGAATAATTTTTTTAAAAAAATTAGGTATCTATTAGTAACAAACAAAACACAAACATCCCTCAGATTACTCGGCACAACTCAGCAAAGCTAGTTAGTCAGATGTTCTATTTCCATTTGTTTGGAGATAAAATGCTTGACTTGTGATGAAATGTTTAGCAATGCAGTGTATGTTGGCTCAGCAGCCACCAGCCTGCTGAGGATCAGTTCTACGTGACAAGGATATTCCTACTGCATCCCCTATGGTCATAGGCACTGAGCAACCAGCACCCAGCCCAGCTCTGGGGGCACACAGTACAGGCATAAATTGGATTGTATAAAAACACTGTCTGTAGTTTGCTTATTTCAGTGACAGTCACAACGCAAGTTGTAAACACGTCCTACTTTCTCTTCACCCAATCCTCTACCCAACCACTTTTCCCGTGATCTGTCTTATGCTTCTTTTACAAAAAGTTTTGGTCTGTTGCAGTGCAGCCCTTGGCAATTTAAACAGTTCCTTAATTTCTATAATTTAACACTGGATTTTAATAACCCATTCCAACAAATCACCTCTGGAATGCATATGCTCTTAAATGCTTAATGAAGAACAGATTTTCACTGAGATTCCCTATTTTCCTTCCCTATTCTCAGGGAAGGACCTTGCCAGATTGCACAACCACACTTTTCATTCTTTTCAAAAAGAAGCTACTGGGCTGGAACTATGAGACTCCAGGTTCAAACTTCACTCAAAAAAAACAGAAAATCTAAATCACGATAGAGCAATTCTAGTATTGTTCTAGTACACTCATTAATGAAATGAACATTTTACAAAACAAAGGAAAAACTTAGAATTTTCCTTTTAAAAGTTAACTTATTTGCTACATACCTCAGAACTGTTTGTTAGGATCTAGAAGCAAATAACACAACCAGAGATTAATCTAAGTAAAAAGTAAACTTTAACTAGTTACTTACTGAAAATTCGCTACTTTTACTGACACAGGAATGCAGGGAAGTTGAGTGGCCCATTTCAATGTAACATCTTGATAAACATTCAACATTTTACTGTGGTTTGCAATTAAAGTGTTTATTGTTCCTTCTCGCACTGTTCAAAGATGAAAAAAAAAAAAATTAAAATGAAAGATTTTTCATTAGCCAGTACTTTTCTTTGAGCCTTATATAGTTACGTTTTCTTTTATTTTTTTAGCCATTAGTTGTTATAAATTAATTTATTATAAATAATCAAAAGTTAGGAAAGTTACATTGACACTAACCAAGGACATATGTGATTAATTGTGGATACCAATTTCAATTGCATATTACACAATATATGCCACAACTTGCTAAGGTTCTGGCCAGCCTTGTTTGGTAATTTAAAACACGACAAAGACTCATAATGGCCATGTTGGCATGCCAGGATAGATATGACAAAATACACATTGATTAAATATCTGCTACTTACACTATTCATTAATTCTTTATTTTGTGAATACCAATTAAATGTGTATGCATTTATAGGGTGTATTTATAGTATAATTCAAAACAAAGCATAAAATGTGAAGACTGCTAAGATCAAATTTGTGAAGATTAAAATGATATTTTAAGTTCAAAAGGAGACATACTGTCAAAAATTTATCAGACAGTTTTTGAAACATTAAAAGAGAACATGTATTAAGAGTCTATAATTCTCAACAAGTATCTAAGTTGTTTCCACCAATTTATCGCAATAAACTTTGATCTTTTTAAGAATCTGTAAGTATCAGAAGGTCATAAATCAAAAGGTCCTCAAACAGAAGGTACTCAAACACAAGTTTACTCTTCCAAAGACTGTCATTCTTCTGTGCTTGCTGCTTTGATAGCCTGGGCACCAGACAAGTACCTCCATGATTCTACAGATCATAGACTCACAGAATCATACAATGTCTTGGGTTAGAACAGACCTTAAAGATCATCTAATCTCAACCCCCACTAACATGGGCAGGAACACCTTCCACTAGACCAGGTTGCACAATGGCAAAAGAAGTTTCTCTCACCAAGCACAAAAACAGAAGAAACTCCCTGATTAAATGAGACAACGCATATATCCAGTGCTTGCTCTCCGATGTTTAAAACCCAATCCACCTTCAAAAGAAAAAGCATGCTCCAGAAATCAAGTGACAACTGCATATTAAAGACAAAACATTGAGAAGGCTCAGAGCTAGTCAAATTACATATCATTTACATACACAGAAAAGCAAAATCAAGGTCTTTTTCTGGATAAGAATTATCCTCTTATTCTTAGGGCAGTCAGCAGTCAGCAACTTTCCTTAATGTGACTCAAAAAATGTCTTTTTTTTAATATGTCATTAATTGTTTGCTATGCAGTTCAGTTAAGTACATTTAGAATTTAAAATACACATCCCATTCAAAATGAAAATGCTTTATACTTTAACTAATTAATCCAAGAATAGATATTTAGGATCATTTTCATCTGCCTCCATGCAAGTCTTTGGTTACTAAGCAAAAGGATAAAGAGCAAAAGGTGACAACTTATTCTACCAATATATGTAAATGGAAAACTAGACAAACATTTCAGGTGTGTAAGCCAATATTTATGCTTGCAGTCATTCATGTACACCCTTTAACCTGGAGAATGCTTGTGTATGTCATAGTTTGTTTACTTCTCCAGCTACATACATTGATATAATAAGCAACTACTTAGAAATCCTGCCTCCCCTGTCTTTAAACAATACTACTGCTTATTGACACTTATCATTGATTTGTTTCTTCAGCTCCTCTGATAAATTCCAACTAAACACATGTGCAAAAAATGCTTTTGACTTCTGCCAAGCTGGTTAAACAGAAATTTAGAATTTTGAGGTAAAAATATATCGAAGTTCAACTGTCAGCAATTCCTATATGAAATGTCAGCATTAATGATTTTGCTTAAAGAGCATAGAATGTGCCAGAAAATATCCTGGCACATCTGATATATGAAACTAGAAGTTCCATCTTAAAAGTTAAAGGGAAAAAACCAGCTGATTATGTTTGTTTCCATGCATGCTTCAAGTTTTAGATTAAAAACTGTTCCATTTTCAGTATATCTGATAAGTCTCCAGGTTTTTTTATTTATAAATTGCCTTCTCCCACTTCTATATGTAAGATTCAGTCTACATGTGTTTGAAAAATTCTACAATTAGCCCGAGGAAGGAAGATGCTCTCCCAATATTTTACTGTTGAGCCTGAAATATGATGAATCAAGCATTTTATATATGCAGTGCATTTAGCAGACAAGCAACTCTACTGCAGGACCACAAAAAATTAAATTCTCTTCCTCTTAAGAGGAGGTAGCTCAAATATTAAACTAAATAGTGACAGGGACCTCCAGAAGACTTTTGAATCCACAGGGTTTTGACAAAAATAGTTCAGGACGCTATTTATGGAAATATTTCACTGTGAATTTTTCTCTAAGTACAAAGGATTCCCCAAGGAGAATGAGATTCATTTTCTACAATACAAAGTCACAATCACACATGAGCAATAATCCAGGTATACCTATTTATCTATTTTACTACTGTAGGTTCTGTATTACAAAGACTGCCTTGGAAATAGTTATTTCCACCACAGTAGTTTTTCTTTCCTCACTAGAAGAACAGCAAGTTTTAAGGCCCAGCCTTAAACAACAGAAGCCCAAAGAAACCTTAATAGAAATCTACTGGAGTCTTTCCATTGCCCTTAGCAGAAATTGGATCAGGTCCTTTGTCAGCAGACAATGTTTCCATTTGTTACTTAGCATCAGTCATTTCAATATGTGTGCAGTGTTCATAGAGGGTATGTAAAATAAACAGGTTTTACCAGAAGTCTTTTTCCAGAACTGAGTTTCTGCTGTTCTGTGTCTTGTCTTTCATCAGCATCTGTTGCAAATGCCATCACTTGGTATCTGTTACAAGCAGTTTAAAAATATTAAAAAAAAAAAAATTATATCTTTGTTATATTACCTCTACACTGAGTAAAAAATAAAATATAATTCTGATTATACATACACAGTAAAATCACAGTCTAAAAGGATGGTTAGAAAGCCTACTGCAACATGTCTACTGTCAGCAAAGATGTTAAGACTAGTATCAGTGCAAGGTAGCAGCTAAGTGTAAAGGTAGAAATTAAAACAAGCATTTATATTCAGATTTTATGAGGAATTAAAATAAATTCGACAGTCTAAATATTAGTAGATAGAAGTACAGACCACAAAGATTGAAAAAATAAATTATCAAACTGTGCAGTCGGAATTCTAATAAAAAAATGACCATTTTTTGTACTTATTAAGCTTTTAAAAAACTTCCAAAACCACTCAGAAATACAATCTGCTCTATCTAATAGTGCAACTTGCAAGCACCTCCATTAAGTAAACTAAGCATCTCCAATCTAGGAGACTGCAGTAAACTGGAATCAGGAGGTGGCACATTTAACAAAAGTTGGAAGGTTTGTGGCATTTTATTATTTTAACTGCCAACAAACGATACTAAGAAAAATTGGCAATGAAGATATTTGAACTATATCAACTGCCATAAAAGCACTGCACATCTATCTGTCCTCTTTACACCTATGCAATCCTCACTGTTCAAACTCTGTCCTCATTGACTCTTCTGTAACTGTTTCCTGAATTTGTGCTGGTATCGTAATTCACTGATCTACCCTGTTTCTTGTGTATACACATAGATAACCTGTGGAATACTGAAGGTTTCTAGATAAGTGAAATAAACAACAGAATAAGACCTAACTTAGACTTATCCAAAAAGACGGCACTTAATTCTTGAAGTCATGGAGTGCCATCAGTTCCTAAGCTTAAACCAACACAATTCTGAATGTTCCAATTCAATCTAAAATATCAGTACATATTTTTCTTCATTGTCAAAGCTGGAGATTTAAAATTACAATATTCCTTACATTTCATGTGTGCTGCAGCGCAGCAAAAGGACAAGGCGTAATGGCCATATATTAAAACACAAGAAGTTACATCTCAACATGAGGAAAAGCTTCTTTACATTGAGGGAGGCAGAGCAGTGGAATAGGCTGACCAGGGAGTCATGGAGTCTCTCTCCCTGTAGAGAGTCACAGCCTACCTGTATATTCCAGTGTCACTCACTCAAGGTGACCCTGTCTTTGCAGGGGGCTTGCACAGATGGACTCCAGAGGTCCCTTCCAATCCTAACCAGTGATACTCTGCTTGCTACTGAAGGATTTTAGTTTCTAAAATTGTTTTACTTACAAAAGTAAACTATGTACTTCGAGTAAGAAATCTAATTGTTTAAGGCGAATGCTATGACCTAGTAAATAATATTGAGAGAGCTGCTTTTAGTACAACTAGGATGTCTTTAACTGTCATCTGTATGAATGAATTTACTTCCCTTATTCAGTTTAACACATTTATAAGAGAAGTTGCAGATTCACAGAATCACAGAATCACTGAATAAGTTGAGTTGGAAGGGAGCCAGAAGGATCCTGACCTAACAAAATTTTCTCTTCACCATATTTTAGTCTTGGAAACTAGTCTTGGAAAGCACCTTAACATTTTATTAACTAATCAGAGACATAATACAGATGTTTCAAATAAAGCTCACATCAAACAGCAATATTTAAGTCAGCTAGATGCATATGGTCTTTCATAAAAAAAAAACTCAAGCCACAGATGACCAACACAAACTTTCAATTTAGCTATCACATCAAGCATATAAGAGGCATTTTGCTTTTAGATCTTGAAAGAATTCAGGATCAACACAGTAAAAATTGCTTTCAAATGAAGTCTCTAAGAGCTATAAGAAGATGGATAATTTGAAGTTTAGCAACTTATTCTGCTAAAAACACTAGGTAGAACTGTTGTATTTTTTATTCAATACCATAAAAATAACCTCTTCTCTCCTTAGCATATCTGTTTCCTTCCCTTTAAAAGGATTACTTAACTCTGTTCTAATGTTCTAATATTTCAAACACAGACTAGAGATTAGTTCCATTACTGTTTTAACATTTGACACTTAAGACCAATAACCAAGTGAAAAATTTGTTTAAAACTATATCCCTACAGTAAGTACAGTAAGGATGGCATGCTTTTGAATTAGTAACAGACTGATGAATAATTGTAGGCACATTTTTTGTAAAGGTCAAGAATCTGAACATAATTTAAACATATGAGATGTTCATTTTAAAGGAGAAAATATATCTTTATTCCTTGACACCAGTATTAGATTATATTATAATTTTATTCTAATATTGTATTAGAATTTTAATTCTAAATTCTTAGGAAAATTATTAATTTTCTATTAAATTACTTTTATTTGCAATACATATATCTTGCCCAGTTTTAAGAAAACAATGCATGATACATATAATCTGATTAATCTTAAGCAGCAAAATAAAAAGAATATTGCTTGAGGACTACAGGTGACAGAACAGGGTCTGTTCTGTCAAACACAAAGCATCGTGTTTGACTAACATTCCCTAGATTAGATTCCCATGGCATTATTCATAAAAAGAGGCATTCTTATTTTCTTTAATATGTATGATTACCTCTGAAAAAAATCCTTAAGGTACTTGCCCATTCCTTCAGCCTCATGAGATTCCATGAAAGGCAGACCCATCAAACCTTTTTATAGTAGCCACTTCCAAAAATTTGACATTGTCCTTGAATTTCAGGACTTGCAATTTGTCCTTCTGTCCAGGATGAAAATATTAAAGAAATACTGGCTCCAGTATCATCATCACTCATCTTTGGCTGCTGGTTAGAACTGTGAACAACTAATGCTCTGTAAGCTTGACAGCTCTGACACTTTTTCATCCATTTTAGGGGGTGTGGATTTTTGTTATCACAGGTAGTAGCTCTGCTTCAAACACCGCTAGGGACAGAGATTCAATAACCCTAACATTAGTCCTCTGTGAGAAAAAGGGTCTGAAACAGGGAAACGTCTTGTTTGAGAAAGGCTTCACAGCAGACATACACCACAATGTCCCACTGCTCAAGCATCCACCTGATTCTAAACAGATGAATATTTGATAAACTCTCAACATGGTGACTGCATCGAGAGCCCCATGGATTTAAGCTGCTCCTCCAGAGTAAACATAAATGCTCCCTTTTCTGTCTTTCAAAAATCTTTCACATTCTCTTTCTTATTCTCTATTAGATTTGTGTCTGATTGGCCTTACAATACATAGTCCCTGTGCTTGGAGGGAGTGAAAATGTCTTGTGCAGTCTTTACTTTCCATAAAGTTAATATGGTCACAAATTAAAATAGCTCACAAGAGTTTCATCCATGTTCCAATGCTGAAAGCACAGACTAGACTGAACTGAAGCAGGGATAAAAACTGGCACTTGGGAGCAACACAGCCTTGATAAACTAGTAGACTTACTACCTTTATAAAAATAAAATAGGACCATAAAGTCCTCAGTACTCACAGCACACTTTCTTCTACAACTGTATTCAGACAGTAATTACTCAGCAACATATAACATCTTTCCTGCAACTACTTGCTTTTGGATACTCCAGTAAAGACATTAAAAATTAAACAAGATTACTTTCAATGTGTTTACCTAGTAAATGATACCACCAAAGTGTACTATAATTACTGAACATAAACACATACTTGTAACTCTCAACCTGCTGACAAGAAGACACTGTAATGAAAGAGTCTGTGCGAGAGCTATAAGCCAAGGGACCAGGAAGAAGAAAACCAGGTAAAAACCGGCCAAAAGCGTAACTTTCTTGTTCAAACAACATGAGCATCCCATCCATGGACTGTATGCAGATCAAATCTCGACCTGAGGGAAGCAACAGAAAGAAATACAAAGGAAACAAAGCAATGTTAATTGTGTAGTTTTAATACTAAAACTGTGAGTAAATTAAAAATGTACTCATAAGTAATTCTAACAAAAGCATATTTTCATTTATGGGAGTGTCCACTATGAGGAAAAACATTAAATATTCCAACCTTGATAAAAGCTTACTTTCTAAAATAAACCAATTAGATTGTGGAGACAAATAACATTAAGAATACATTAAAAAAAAAAAAAAGGCAGCAAGATATTTTATTTCAAAACAAAAATCCTAAGGATATAACTATTACAATTTCAGTTTAAAGAAACATTTCAATATTCCCAAAACATCAAATTATTCTGGTTCCTAAATGCATCCATAACTTAAAAGTAGCCATAACAAATATGGTTTAAAATAACCAATTCTGTTCTTTCAAGTCTACTTAAGCAACATAACAGAAAGTCCTACAAATATGTGTTGTTGTGAAAATAGTACAATGGTAATGTCTTCCATGTTTTACGCTCACATTTTCTGTCTTCAAGGAAAGAAAAAACAAAGTTCAACTCTGTATTACTAGCAAGTATAAAAAAATCAAATAAAAAATTTCAGCTTGGAGTAAATTACTTCAAGCCTTATACATTATTCATCAGCCGTAAGACATGACATGAGACACGGCTTGTCATGCCTCAAGTACAACAATATAAATTCAAAGTCTCATTGAGAAGATTTCTGAGATCAGAAACTGATTATGCAGTTTGCACTTCATATGTAAGGGTGACAATTCATACAAACAATATTTTTTAGGCATTCAGAGAGAGCTATACCATTAAGACTAACACTTTCTTAAGCTGAAAGAAGCATCTCTCCTGAATTCATAGATAACCTCTTATCTAGCAAACATTACATGAAATATTCAAATGTCTATTGTATATTCAAATGTAATTCAAAATGTCTATTCACCTCAATTACAATACTCTATTTTGTCTCAGGAATGATTCTGTATGCATGAAAGACTCAAAAAAATTGTCTGTTCACTAAGTTCCACCCTCAATCCTTTAATAAGTTTTCTAACATAGGAAGGTCAAGCAAAATAAAAATAGACTAAAACTTCATTCTTACAGTTTCATAAAGGTAACTAAAGTCAAATATTCAATATCTGAAAAGCAACAAACATACAGTGCAAAACATTGTTCATCTCCTTTGGCTTTTAAAAGCACAGCAGCACTTCTTAATATACCCACCACCTTGTTCATCTTATTCGTGTTGTTCCCACTCACTAATTTTCAAATTTGGATTTTAACTAGCTTGTACTAGTGGGTCAAACTCCAGTTATCCAAACTATTACATGTAAAGCATAATTAAAGAAAATTAAATTGTGTATGAACTCTTATTTCCTAGATGTTTATAGGTCAACTTATTTCCTTCAGCCATTTGTTTTTAATGTATGCCCAGTGAATGGAGTTTTTATGTTTCACTTTGAAAAATGCAGTCCTCCAAACACTCAACCAGAAATGGCCATTTCAAAAAAGCTTATTGCAGCCAGTTGGCCTTGCCAGTGACACATTTATAAAGTGAAAATATAAACCACAGTATTTTCTGCATATCAGATGGAATCACTTAGTGTACTCTACACAGTTTCAGCAGCTTGCATCTCAGGAGGAACGTCCATTAGCCAGAAAGTGTTACTTTTAAGCACAAGTCTAGCTACTGTTGTGTTGTAGTTTTGTTATTCTAGCAGAATATGAATATATTTACATCTCACTTTTAAGCCACAATGTATTTTCAGAGCTAATGCAAAGACAAAATGAGAGGCAGGTGGTAGTTCTTTGAAATAAGCTTCTAATTAAATCTATTTTGGAGCTCAAGTTTTTTTGCATGTTAATGGTTTCCTGTACTCAGAGCTTCCCCTCTGGCACCAAATTATTTTCATAGAATGTACATTATGTAATCACAGAGCCTGAGCACCACAAGAAATCAGGCAATGAAAACTGAAGTGGGATAAATTGGAAATCAGAAAAAACTTTGTAAAATTACAGAGTTTTTGAAGACATCAGCAGAGAAAACTGCTTTCAATGGTAATCAAATGCCTCACTAAAAGAGTCTTGTGTGGAAGGAAGCATCAATGAAATAAAATTAAAAGGTAAACTGGCATTTACAACACACTCAGGAGCCTAAGAGCTCTTTACTGTTACATGGGAAATGCTTTCCTAATACGATAAAAAAGTGACCAGTGAGGTAATGCACATAAACTATATATTCCCACACAGTCCTGACTTGAAACAAACAAGTATGTTTTCCTCTTCCTTCATCACTGAAATTTGCCCCTGAAATTTCTCACAGCAAAGGGAACACAGGCTTCTCCAGTTCAAACCCACTCTGGAAAATTCTATTTGCTTCTGAGTATTGCTCCTTTAGCAAAGCAGATCTGGGGCAATTGTGAGAAAAGGACTTCAGGGATCAGGTCTGACGAATGGTAAAAACATTTGAAAATAACTTGAGCAGTTCTTAAAACAATGTATGCCTAGCAAAAGAAAAGTCTTACATTTCCTCCCTAACCCAGTGCAAAAAGCACGTATCAGTGTACATTCAGAAAGAACTCTGAATTCACTAGCTTGGTGGTCTGGTGGCTGCTCTACAGAAAGCATCAAAGTTCAGAGCTTCAGCTGTGGCCATTCATCCTAGGCCAGAGGATCTGACTGCCAACACCCTGAACAAAAGCAAAGCGGAAAACTGCCCTGCATCACTCAGTGATAATGCAAGTACCCATCCCAAATGATGCACAAAGTATATACACGTTCCAGCTGATACTGACTGGATGCTTTTGCTGGAATTGAAAAATCACTCCAATGGGAAGGAAATATAAATAGAATAGTGCATAGGAAGAACTTTAAGAGAAACTAAGGAAAGTGTTTAAGGAAAATACTAAGTCCTTATTCTACTAAACCATTCTGGATATTAAAGCATTGCAGTAAAATATATTCGTAAGTCCCACCACAAGAGACACTCTCTGTAACAGCACTCTCTGTAAGGAGCCTCCCTGGTCAAGTTCTAAAGCATGGAGACAGAGCTGTCATGAAAAAAGAAATGCCCTTGGTTCTCTCACCCATCATACTATATTCTAACCTCTTGTAGATTTCTGCCTGCCATAAAACATGAGGAGGATTTCAGGTGGAAAGAGAATCTTGAACCATTGAAATATCTCCTAAGGCAAATCAGCCCTCACTCACACAATTAATCCCTTAGACACTTGTGATATGTTCCTTTGTTCTTAATTCAAGTCTTATCACAGAAGACAAGGCAGTTAAATTATGTTACTTGGGAATGAGACCTTTCAATCTCCTAACCAGAGGTAGTGGAAGGACCCTTAGGGAAAACACCAGTATGTTTCAAGGGAGTAAGACAGACCAGCATGGAGTATAAAGATCTCAAAGCATCACAGCTGCAATGTCCAACATATTAAAATTCCTCCTGAAAGAAACATAGTATTTGGCACTGTGTACACACGACAGGTAAAGTCTCTTCCCTTAAACAGATTATAGTACAAAAATTTGTTTATTACAACCTTCATATGAAGCAAATCATTTTTTCTACAATTGAAAGTGGATGTTTCCACCTAGCACAAGAAATACTCTCAGTAAAAATGTTCAGGCAGCTATGAAAGCAGTGTTATTCAAGGTTGTTCTTTGTTTTAATGCAGAAGATTAATTATAGATAGCATAAACAGAGGAGGTCTTGAAAATGGCTGTATGCATGGATGTAGCCTGAATAATGATGATTCATGAAGAGATGATAAAATTCTTCCCCTCAGATTCTTCTTTGTTTGTTTGATTCTCAGATGTTTGTTGCCATAACTTTTTCAGTAATCAGGCCCTAGAAGCTGCAGAAATCTTCTAAGAGCCTTGCATTCATACAGGCATTACAACACTGGCATACACTTTTTCTAAAGCAAGTAGGAGGAATTCCAGTCTGTGAACCCTTCTGCTCTCATCTGAAGTTATATACCTACCATACATTTTATAAATATTACAGAACATCTTACTGAACTAGCAAATATCCCACAAACAAGTACTGTCACCAGTCGGCCTTCGAAATCAGTAACATTTGACTGAATAGTTCAGGCATCAGTTGGATGCCTGAAAGGATGATGAAAACACCAGTTGGATGTTTTTAGCCAATCATAAATTAACAGCAGACCTTTCACTGAGTCAACATGAAGTTGAATGCATACCCTATTTTTCAATATTTTAGATACTTTCAAAAGTTATCAGTAAGATCTTAAGTCACCATCATAAAATAAATCTATCAACTTTAAAATTCCATTTAAAACAGACCTGAAAACTTACAATGAAACAGAACTACATGATCCCACTGTTAAAACCCAGTGAAATTCCCAATCTTTTCTACTACTTCTCCTTTTATAGTCTCCTTAGACTAAGAAGCTTCATGACTGCTAAGCACTTCCCAAAGCACTTTGATGTATGAAGCTCTGTCTCAGGGAGGGTAATGAGAGAGTCAAGAGCTTACGGGTCAGGATTAAAGAGCAAACAAATAAGAGTGACACTGTTGTGGGGGATTGCTACAGGCTGCCTGAAGGGGAGGAGGAAGCAGATGAGGTCTTACACAGACAGCGAGAAGTAGTCTCACAGTCACAGGCCCTGGTTCTCATGGAGGACTTCAACCACCTAGACATTTGCTGGAGGAACCACACAGTGAGGCATAAACAACTCAGGAGGTTCTTGGAAAGCACTGGCACTGGTAGTGAAGGAGCCAACTAGGAAAGGTGTGGTGCTGGACGTTTACTAACAAACACAGTATCGTTAGAGAGATGAAAGTTGGGGGCAGCCTTGGCTACAGTGACCATGAGATCATTAGTATCCTTTGAGGAAGAAGCAGGTCAGTGAGTAGGATCGCAACCCTGGACTTCAGGAGAGTTAACTTTGGCCTCTTCAGGGACCTTCTCAAAAAATCCCAGGGGAACGTGGGGTCCCCAGAGGGACAAAAGGCC